AGTATATGTGTATCCTTGTGGATAAAGGATAACAATACTTCCGCACCTTCTACCAGTCGTAAGAGGTGACTAATGAAGTTTCGTCATGTCAACAGCCGGTGTAAAATTTTGTCAAATAGTATGAAGAATCCTGAACATAATTTAGGCGGATTGTCCCCATCTCGGATGTATGCTGAGAAAACTGTACGCTGGGGAAATGAAGTAGTTAGAGACGAAGAAAGCCTAAAAAATTAAGTATTTGATACCAGCCGGACAACTATTCGGCTGATATCCAGGAAATCCTAGATTTCGCAGTATCATATGATCTTGATGTTGTTAATATTTATTTTAAAAAGAGAGAAGAACATTATATAACTTAAAAATAGTGGATAGATAATAGTAATATATCACAGATTGATTATTTTATGTGGAAAAAGAGAACGTAATGTGAGTAAGAGATTGTAAAGTTATCCTATGCGAGAGTGTAAGTTCACATCATGGACTTATGGTAATGGAGTTGTGGTGTAGTCGGAAGACAATATACAAAAACAGAAAGAGTACAGGAGGAAATCGAGTATCCGGTGGTGGAAATTGAGAGAGAAGTCTAAAGACTTGCAAAAGTAAGAGAAATACAATATATAGATTTTCATAATGTAAGGTGTATAAAAAGTGATGATAAGATGATGCTAACGAGTGATGTGAAAAAAGTAGAAAGAATATTTATGCTCTTAATCCAATATAATTTAATGCTTTGGCGTTGGTAACCCATTACTATCATGGATGGGGGGCTCCTTTTTAACCGGAAAAACTCCGGTCAAAATCTTAGACCAAGTATCATCTGCTATTAGTGTACTATCTGATGTACCACTGGGTGGACATTTATCTCCCTTATTATTTTTATTATTCATGAATAATCTAAAGTGCGTGTTTTGTTTCTGTAATTATTCCCTTTTTGCCGACGATCTTAAGATGTATATGGTAATTAACTCATTAAAAGATTGTTATAAGCTGCAAAATGATATTATCCGTTTCTGAAAGTGGTGTAAAGATAACAATTCATTAATAAACATCGATAAATGTGCTCAGATATCCTTCACTGGACGTAAAAACCTTGTTATGCATAATTATTCTTTTGATAATCAAGTCCTTAACTCAGTCTATTCCATTAAAGATTTGGGTATCATTTTGTCCGTTGATCTCTCTTTCTCTGAACATAAGTTATTTATCTACAAATTGTTCAACAAAGAAACTTGCAATGAAGTGAGGTCTACATTCACTCTCCTCCAGACAAAAATTTAATGATGCATCTTTTATTCTCAAAATTTTAAATAATAATATTCAATACTTAAAAAAATTAGTTTGTCAATTCCAACTTTTTTTACGAGATCAAAAATTGTTTTTTATGAGTCATAACACAGTCAAACATATAGTTTTAATGAACCCAAAAGTCGTATGCTTCGTTATTGCAACAACCTCGATAGCTTTGACTTTAATTACGATTCTGAATCTAAGCTTAGTCATTTATGTTTGAACTTTAATTTATAATTATACTCATTATTTTTGTTTTTTTTTTTTTAATAATGCATTGCCTCTATATTTAGTAACGAAATAGTGCCGTTTTGTTTAAAAATCTATTTTATATTACTTAATCGTAATCTTAAGTTAACTATTTATTGAATTTTTTGTACACTCTCTTGCCTTCGGGCGTAAATAAATAAATAAGTTGAGAAATACAAGGAAGTACCGTGGTGCATGTTGTTCGTTGACGACATAGTGTTAGTAGTAGAAGGGATTAATGAAAGGCTAGAGATATGAAGATTAGCTCTTGAAAGAAAGGGATTAAGAACAAGTAGGAGTAAAACAGAGTATATAGAGCACGAGATTGACAAAGGAGAACCCAAGTTGTGGCGTAGCCAGTAGGTAGTCCGGGCCTACCCAGATTTTCTTATCGAACAAATCATATATAATTTGAATTTTTTAATAAAATATTTAAATGTTAAAATGTTTTATTTTTCTTGGTATTATTACTTTTTGGATCATAATATCCCATAAACAAATATAGGTGTCTTTTGGGTGATTGCATGACACTTATTATGCTAATAAACTTAACGACCATTTCCTTACCCTGGGGTTTCTCTACTTTTAACAGCACTCGATCGGTCCCTAAAATCCTATTGAATTGTTTATCAGTATACTATAAAGTTATTATTATTAGGTGATCGACATTATGATTAACACTATTTATATGAGTCTTAATTGACCATAATGGTTCATGTCGTTTAAGGTTGAAATGTACACGAAATTAATGCTGTGTAGCTACATAACTGTCGTTATTTTTGTAACATGATTTAAATCGCAAACGCGCGTTGTTTACCACTCCACTATTCCATTATTACTAAATGGCATGTTAATTATAAACGAATAATATTTGTCATATGTTCTTATCTAAAATTAATATTAAGAAAAGCAATTTTTAAATTTGCTCATGTAAATGTCCCAAATTAATAGATTAAATAGTAATAAATAGATGGTTTTAAGTTCCTATCATTAAATTTAAATCGGCTGCGACTGAAAATTTTTTGGATTGAGACGATCCACCAAAAATTGATTTTCTCGAGCAATGTACACCAGACATAGAAATTAAATTTTAAAAATTAGATTTAAAAAAAAATTCAAATGAACTTTTTAAATTTGACATAAGCTCAATTTGCGACGAAAGTACTGTGTAACAAGTTATCAGTTTTCATCGTACAGTTATTTCTGTTAAACAACGTTGCTTTCAAAGCAAATGGTATAATAAATACCCTTAGTTGGAGTATTCAATTAAGATGAATGCCGTTTTTTGTTATTTTTATCGTTATTTTTCTTTTACGATTTCACAATATCAATTGGATAAAGATGCTTTAACTACTTATGGATACTCTGATTGGAAAAATATAAGTAATATTACTAAAAAACATGAACATACTACTTCGCATAAACATGCTGTTATAAAATACAACTTATTGCTGTCAACCAAAAAAACTGGCAAAGTTTCATCTCAAATAAATCACAAGTTAAAAACCAAATTTTAAAATATAGAGAAACCCCTATCAAGTATAAAACGATGCATTTTATACTGCGCTCGACAAGACATCGGATTACGTGAACATCGAAAAATCAATTCTACTGAAGATACAAATTGGCAATGTCATCACGTTAAGATATTTGTATAATTCAAAAATTAAAGAAAGATTTTTAGGGTTTATTGAATAAACTGAATTACATGCCCATGCACTGTTTAGTGCATTGATATTATTTTTAAAAAAATCGGGTATAGACATAAAAAAATGTGTTAGTCAATCATATGATAGTACCTCAGTAATGTCGTAAGAATTTCTAGCGTACAAACAAAAATAAGAGCTTTAGCACGAAATCTATATCCATACATTCATTGTCATGCTCACAGATTAAATTTTATTCTAGTTAATGTTACTAAAAGTGTTTAAAAGGTAGATGAAATAATTGGCTTGTTAGAGGCTATTATGGATTTCAATCAGTATTTACTTTCCGTCATAATGCTTTTTTTCAAGAAACTAAGTACAAAATTCCACAGCACAGTGATACTAGATGGGTTTCTAAACATAAGAGTATACAATTTTTCAAAACTCATTTTACAAGTATTTTGAAAGTTCTTAATTCGTTTAAAGAAAGTTTTAAAAAACGAGTAGCAGCAGAAAGCAAAGGGACTAATTTTACAGTTTGCTAGATTCGAAGTCATTGTTGTAGTTGTTTGATTAAATAAAATATTAAACATTGTAAACTGTCTATCAATTAACATGCAGTCATCTACTTTGAATATAGAACCATGTTGATTAATGCAACAAAAAACAAATTTTGGAGTTACGTGAAGATAAAAATTTCGTTGATTTATATGAACAATCATTGGTAATTGCACAAAATGCAAATGTATATACTCTACTAAATGTTGAACTTTCCTAGAATAGAATGTCATAAAATTCAAGTAAAATGACAGATTATTATATTACTTCAATAACGGGAAAGTACATATATTTATATGTACAAAATTAGGAGATTAATGACAATAAACGAGAACGTGATAGGAGAGGCTGAAAGTTTTAAGTATTTAGGATCAGTTGTGCAAAAAACGTTGGTATTGACGAGCATGTAAGATATAAGATTAAGTGTGGGTGGGTGAAGTAAAGAGAAGCATCTTTAGGAGTTTTGTAATTACCCATAAGATTAAATAATTTCACTTTCATTTATATAAAGTAGTATACAAAGTTGATAGGTGATCATAACAAAATATATCACTTTTTTATAGAATTTAAATACTTGAGGGTAAAAATATCGTTTTATTATTTAGAATATTACAATTTTTTATTTTATAATTTCCAACAATATTGTTTCATTTATCAGTTTAATTATGTCGTTGTAAAAATAATCGCTTGTTTAATATAGTGAATTCATTTTTCAGTAGTGTGGCGCATAATATAGGCAATTATTTTACTTGAGTAAATTATTTATTTATATTTAGATATTTTTGGTAGTTTATGTTAAAAACTAATTATTATTAGTCGTAACTAATAAAAAAAAACGTATATTGTTCCCATAGATTCCTGAAAAATATAATTTTTTCTAGTCGTTTTAAGTATTTAACTTTGTTTATTTATTTATTTATTTATCATAAATTATACAGGCAATAGCCCAAAAAATACAATATGTACTAGACAGTTAACTGGACAACTTAAAATTATCTAATAACTAAAAATGAAACATTAATAACTTAAGCTTGACAAAGAGAAAAAGAAAAAGAAAAATTTAAACATAATCAAAAATTTAAATATTAAATAGGAAGGCTAAATGACTAAATTAAAAATGAAAAGAATATAAAAAATCAGGGTCATTATTTGCAATGCGCATTAAACGTGGGAGAGCGGAATGAAAAATATAATTAGAAGATGAATGAGGAATGAGTAAAGGGCCAATATAGCTAGATGAACGAGCAGGTACCCGAAAGTTCAATTTAGAAAGTAGGACAGGAGATCAATCAAGCCAGCTGAGAGTTTAGAAAGGAAACGGATATTAGAGTCATGTCTTCTAGCAGATAAGGAAGGAAGTTGTAAGAAATTTTGAATAGGAGTTAAGTCATGAGGTGGATGGGGGATATTAAGGATATGAGCCGCAAAGCGTAAAAATTTACGCTGCACTCTTTCAAGTATCATAGAGTCGGTAGCTGTGTAAGGATCCCATAAAACCGAACCATACTCAAGGATAGGGCGAACTAGTGAACAAAAAAGATTTTTTAGTGGTCTTGAGAGGTGAAATTCATGAGAAATTCTCTGAATAAAACCTAAAGTTTTTAGAGCCTTACAACATACTTCTTCAATATGAAGTCGAAAATTTAAAGTAGGAGTAAGACGAAACCCAAGGTCAACTATAGAAGGAACAGAAGAAATAGGATGGTTATGAATATAGTAAGTTGAAGATATAGGATTAGAAATACGTGAAAAAGTCATTTTATAACATTTAGAGGTATTAAAAGTCAAGCCAATTGATTCAGCCCAAATAACTAAGCGATCTAGATCAGTATGAAGTAAAATAACTATTTGTAACACGCATAAAAAATATGAATTCATCTGCAAAAAGGAGAATTTAGCATGCTGTAAAACAGAATTTGCGCCATTTACAAAAATGGAAAAAAGAAGAGGAGATAGGATTGAACCTTGTGGAACACTGGAGGAGGGAATGTTTAGCAAAGCACTTAAATTTTTAAAAGTGTAATTAATGAGTACATACATTCAACCCAACATTTTTTAAAAGGACTTTAAAAAAATTGTTTTTGATAAATCAATTATAACTACTATATTAATAATATTAAAAATAACTAAGTAAATAGTATGTTTAACTACTTAATGATTTGATTAGTCTAACTAACTTCGAATGGTTATCTCTATGATAACAACATAAATAGTAAGATTTATTTTTACTTTTTAAATAAACAGCTAATATGACCATGTTGCTTTGTTAGAAACTCATAAAATATTTTGGTATAATGTCAGAAAATGTTAATGTTACTATTTCTTATAGATAATTTTTTAAGTAGACGTATTTATTTATAATTGTTTATAATTAACATTAACATATATTCAATAAAATTATTTACTGTCTTGTTGTAGTTATAATTATATTTAAAAATAACGTGATTTTATTCATACCTAATGTTACTTAGAAGTTGTATTAATTATATTCTATAATATAAAGTTTAAACAACAAGTTTATATAAGTACGAAAATAAAAATTGTTTTATAACGAATTTAAGGGATGGTGCTTCATGTGATCTATAAATACCAAACATAATATAAGGACATAACCAAGGGAGTACATAGGGCAGGAGATACAAGTGGTCTCCTTTTTTGACTTTTTGGTTTAAAACAAGTTTTAGATTTTATAACTTGTACTACACAATATTTAAAATATAATATAATATTATACATAGAGCATTCAGTAAGTAAAAAACGGATTTCTATTTTTCTCATTGCTTGTAACAATTTACCTATTTCCTTACTTTGTAAAAAGTTGCAATATTTTTTGCACATTTATAAAAAGAAAAATTAGAACATCTAATGTTACAATGTATTATGAAATAAACTCTAAAATGAAGTTATGTAATTATTTAATTGAGTTTTACTTTTTTTAATACGTTAGTTTTTAAAAAGTTAATTGTACTTCTATTTTCCGAATAATCATCTTACATAGTATTTGTTATAGCCTAAATTAGGTGTATAGAACTAGAATAGACTAAGCCAAAAATATTTTATTGGCTTAAATTATTTAACAGTTGGTATTTAATTTATGCTAAATAAGACTTAACTTGCAAAAGTACTTTCATTAGAAGATTTCAGTACATAATTATTTATGATAAATTGAATATTTAATTTTTTAAAAGTGTCTTAAGCCACAAATTAGTGAATACATGGAAAAAAATTATTTTTGTATGGTAAACGGTTGAATTATATAGTTGGGAGAAACATATTATAGTAAACTAACCATCTTAATTGGTAATTTTATTAAGTTCGTTTAATTAGAATAACTGCATCAATTGGTTGGTAATAAGGTAGTATTTAAAGATGGGTTCGGTTAAAGTAACCGCACAATATAGTTCATATAGCCATAATACATCAAGGTCCCATTATTATAAAGAATTACTAAACAATTTAGAAAAAAAATACTATTAAATATTCAAGACGAATCTGTGTTGCAAATTCCTATAATGACTAATATATAAATCATTATAGTAAGAATATTTTTATAATATAAATATAAAAATATAATATAACTTTAAAAATTCTGTAAAACTCAAATTTTACAGTCCATTTTAAAGTTGAAACTTTACGGAATTATTAAAAAATATACACAAATTCATGATCATAATGATACTAAAATTTGGTACCATTAAAAAAAAATTTTTTTTTTAATTAACATTTTGTATGAAAAAAACGTAATTTTACAAATATTTAAAGTGTGGTTAAAATATTGATAAAGAAAACTAAGACCATATAAAAAGTTAATAAAATATATCTATCTGGGAAAAATTAAAAAAAAATTTATAAACTATCTATGACCAAAATTTTATGACCTGTGTTATTAAGACTATCAATAATTGGTTTATTTTAATTTTTGTTAAATTTTTTGTTTCTATGTCCCATAACTTAAGTATTATTAAGTATAACATTTAGTATCAAAAACAGTAACATAGTGGACCCGAGGCACAGTGTAGATATGGCATAGTTAGGACAAGTATAGATGATATTTGACAGTAATTAAAATCACTATCTTAAAAAAAGGTTTCTGTGAAAATCTGTAGATAGTGTTTAATTTTAAGAAATTAGTGGATTATTCTAAAAGCAAAATGAACTTTTATATCGTTATCTATATCCTGATTACAAGTTTTATGAATTATAAGTGTAATATATGAATAAATATTTATTATAGCAATTAAATATGTTTAAATGTTAAATATAAGGTTTGAAAATGCTTTCCATATTATTATTTGAAGTGGAGGCCTGGACTTTAAAGGAAGTGATTTGAAGAAGATAGAAGCTTTCGAAATGTGGTGTTATAGAAGAATTTTAAATTGGTAGATCGCGTCACAAATTTGGAAGTGCTGAGAAGAATAGGCAAAGATAAGGAAGTATTAAAGACAATCAAAACAAAAAAGTTACGATATTTTGAACACATATTGAGGGGGCAGAAATATCGAATTCTGTATTTCATTTTAGAGAGAAAGATATGTGGTAAAAGAAGTAGAGGAAGGCCTAAAAAAAATTGGATGCAAAATCTAAGGCAATGGTTTGGTTGCAGCGGCGATCTATGTTCGAGCAAGCCCGAGAGAAAATCCAGATTTATGTGGCGATTTGTAACCTCCATTAGGAAAGGAACTCCAAGAAGAAGAATTAAATATAGTATGAAATTGGTATTTAATAATTTAGTATTGTAATAATTATGGAATTATTATAAATAATTATAAAGTAGTTGTTATTATTATGGTATAAGTGCATAAAAATTAAAGAGCTTGATGCAATGCTCTTTAAAAATAAATTGTTAATTATAAATAAATTTTTCGATGTGTAAGGAATTTTCATCAGAGACCAAAATATAATTGTCTAAACCAATTTTTGTGTCGATTTTAATTCTGTGATTAGATTTTTTCTATCACCTCTTTTTTGAAATGATTACTTATTATAAAAACGAGTATTTACTAGACTAGTGAGAGTTGAGAAAAAGTAGTGACAGACACACACATAAAAAATAATTAACACATCATAGTAAAATGAATACCTTCTCAGCTTCGCATCAATGCTAAAATATACCTAGCTCGTACTAAACACGATCCAACTTTATCAAAATACAAAATTAACAAACTTATTTAATAAATAAGTTTTTAAAAATATAAAATTATATCTGGAAATGAGACGTGGGTATTTTATTTTATCACTATCATGCCTCGGCAGCATTATTTTTCTCGCATAGTTTTAAAAATGTAAATAACTTTGAAATATTCGTTCAAAAGTTGTTACCAATCAGTAATTTTTTTGATTAGATTATTATCTTTTAAATAAACTAGTTAATTATGTATATTGTCATATGAAAAAATATAAAAAAAATGGATACCTTTATAAGTTGGGGGTTAACTAAAAAATAATTTATTATTGACAAATTTAAAAAAAGCCCTAACAGTGAAGTTGCCACACAGAAGAAACGAAGTTCAAAGTAGAGGATGTAGAAATATAGATGATATTTAACTCTGGTTGACATCAATATCATAACTTTGACTTGATATAAGATAAAAGTAGTTAGCCTTCCGGAACATTTTCAAAAATTGAGTTGAAAAAAAAATTTGATATGCGTGGGTGTTTTTTTCAAACATTTCCTGTACTTAGGTTTTCATCGATTTTCAAAAGAAGTATATCAAAGAAATATTGTTTCTAGTATAGTCTATTATTGATTTATTTGGATCAGTGTTTAAAAAATATCAGTTTTAATTGCAGAAAAATATGTTTGAAAATATTATTTTTTTAGAATAGCATAATTTTGAAATATTTTTTTAATTTCTTAAATGAGGAATTTTTTTACATTTTTAACGCTGATTAGTTCAATTAGATATATTTTTCAATTAATTAAGTGGTTCATGATAAATTAATCATTCTGTACTTATAATAAATATAATTTCAACTTATTTTTAAAAAAATACCTATTATCATTCTAACAAAAAAATATTCGATTAATTCCTGACAATGACGATTTATATATATTTTTTTTCGTGTTTCACGATGTTCTTAGTTATGATTATGTCATAGAGATGGAATATGGTTTGGTTTGTTCGTATAATTAACCAGGGTTGTAATGTTTTAAACATGTTTAAAGCACTATAAATTTCAAAATTTACATTAGTCCTACAGGACGTTTTAGACTGTACTTATATTTTAAAAATGTTTTTTAACGACCTTTTATCATTTATGGCGCAAGCTACCACTTTTATTTTTTTTATACATTTATGGAAAATATATCAGTTATCGTGCATATTTATTTGACTATAATCATATATAGAATGAAAAATTCTATATTTTTTTTTTCTAAAAAGAAAATATTTATTTTAAATTATTCTTTCAAAGAATATTACAAATTATTTATTTCAATAATTATTACAAAGAAAAGTAATATGTTTTTATCATTATTTGAATAATACAGATTTACAACGGATCACAGTGTTGCATCGTTGAGAATCCATAGGGCGGGTGGCAGTGGTAAACATTACATGAAACGTCATAAATGTTGAGCCAGCCGCCTGCTACTACCGCCGCTACCGATTCGCCACCGCCGCGATCGTCGTCGGTCGTCGCCGGTGTTTAGTATTGGAATTATTGTTGGCCCGGCTTGAGCAAACGTAGCTGCGATTAAAGGCAGATACATAGCAGACAGCGGCGCGGACACCGACACTATACATAGTAAGGCTGCAGCGGCGGGGCTGCAACCCGCGAACCAAAACAAACGCACACGTTGTCCATAATTCAGTTTCTTGTTTTTGTTTTCACCACGCACTTCAAATATTGTTATTTATCATCATCGATCAGCGTTTTCAGTAAGTATAAAAGTACTTTGATTTTAATTATTTTTTATCGCATGTACTTTATACATAATAACTAGCTATTTAGAATCATAAATGTTATGTTAGACTTTTTCCAAGATTACTTAGTTAATATTTTAATAGATTTATTTTATCAAAATGTACTTTTTTTTAATTTAATGCTTGTAAAACTGCCTTTTGAACAGTAATATGTCTAATATTTGGTTATAATCCGTTGCTATTGGTTACATATAAACGGAATTTAATTATATTATTGAAATTTAATCTTAGTTTGGTTGCGTCGTAAGATTATTCATATTCACTATATGATATCATACAGAAATAGATACTAAAGTTTCCAACGTTTCATTTTGATACAAGAAACTCGCTCTAGTTGACTAAATGAGAATTTTATTTTTTAAATTCTATGTTTTTTTTTGTTAGGCTAAACAATCTGTTCAAAATAAAATCACAATAGTTTTTTTTGTATTATATTATATAGATTTAGTAGCGTTAAAGAAAGCCATTCATTGGTATCACGTCAATTAGTTGTAGCTAAAGTCGTATTTTAGTTATGATTTTGTTGTATTATTTTTTTGGATAAATTTTTAGCAAATAAGTACTCTTCACCATATCTATTAAATCGTATATTAAAAATACATTATAATTAACCTGTATTTTTTAATAATTTCATGTTTAACTGTGTACATCTTTATTTGTATGCACTTCAAACGTGATTAAATTTATTAGAATATGTTTGTTAACACTAGTTAATTACTGTATCAGTTTTTGATAATAAATTTATTTATATCAAACATTGATAGAGAGCTAAAATGTGTAGTTACATATTTACTCTTTTATACTAAAATTTTTTTAAATATTATTTAACTTAAAACATAATCAAAAACAGTTAATACTAAAACAATCGTTGGAAATTGACCTGCACTATCATCTAGCAACCGAGTCTTAAATATTTGAACATAAGAGGGAGTGCAGTTTATTTTTTTATTAGTGAAATTGTATTATTGGATTAACAGAATCTTACCAATAATATTTTTTATCAACTTAATTTTTTCCTCTAGAGTAATTAATAAAAAATTTAATTTAAACTAAAATTAAAAATAGTTTTATTTCTTATAAAAAATGTACTGTCAAGTTAATGGTTTGTAAAGATAATATTTTACATTTAAACATTCATTTATTTATAAATGTTAAATGTACTTGATGTAATATATTTATAATAATAAATTAATAACACTTTAATAGTTGACCACTTTTGAATGATTATTTTAAAAGAGTTCTATATTAAGATGCAGACGGAATGGGTTCAAAATATTTTATTTTGAAATGCTCTATTTATTATTTTTTAAAAGGATAATATTTAGATAAGCAACACCTCAATGATGTAATATGCTGATATAATGTTCAAATTAAAAACTTAGTAGTTATAATTTTTATCTTGTAAGATCGAAAGTTGACACTGATGAAAGAACCATTCAATGTCAAAAACGAAGAATTTATCAACTATCAATAAAATTTTATTTTAAATTAAGCTAAGTTCGAAAAAATATCTGAAAAGAATAGCTGAACTTATAAAATTGAATTCGTACTATCACTTTTGAAACTTCAAAAATCACAAATGAGTTGAAATATTTTTAACGTTTTAAGAATAAATTACATTTAGTTTTTGAATATGTTTAGTTAATCCTTATGACTCAACAAGTAAATAATTTCTTTATCCTATAAATCATCGTAATTATTAGTTATCTTATAAACTAAGCCTAATTGACGTAATTGTAGGTGGTTTTAAGATAAGCACCTAGTGAAATAAGGCTTAAAGATATTGTTGTACATAAAAAAGTTAAATGTGGGTACTCATTTGTCAAACATTGGAAAAAACCTGTTTCTCAACATACTTCATTGTTTGACTATTAATTTGATTTATTTCACAATTTTTGGTATGGTATGGAAAAATTAAAAAAATAAGTAGATAAATTACAAGCATGTATTATATTCATAATAAATTATACGGAGTAAATTACTAAGAATACTACCCAATACCAAAATTCAAGTAGCAATTTTAAATTTTATTAATTATATTAATAATGATTATTAAATCACGATTATCCTGTTTCTATTGGAAATTATCACTTTCGCAGCTTAAACTATAGTTCAGTACTGTATTAAAGAAACCCATTGGAGTTATTATTACCACGAGGTATTTTGACTCTATCTTATCATTAAAGCGATCGTAATAGTATATTTCAGATAAAATTATTTTAGTTATCATAACTACCTTTCGTAAGAACAACATACGGTGTTTTTATATACGCGAAGGAAAATAAAAATCACGTCAAGTGTTTAGGTCATATTTTTTATTTCAATTTCTAACGTTACCACCTCTATACTTACTTGTTAACTATTAGTAAGTTAAAATACTTTTGAATTATCAACTTTATGTTTTATGATAATGAAATATACTAATTCTCAAACCTTTTTAAAAGTGTAGTAGATCATGCTATTAATTAAATGATGTGTGATGTGAGGCAAAGAGATCGTAATTTGTTTTATACTAAATAACAAACACAAAACAATATTTTTTTCTAACGTTTTAAAAAGAAAAATTTATGTTTTTGTTATGATGTTTAATATTTGAAAATTAGAAAAAACATAGTTTCTTATTAAACGTGTTTCAAACATATACTAAAAAATAATTTAGAAATTGATATAAAAAATTTTTAGATTTAAAATAATAGGAAATTTGCTGACATTTAATACATTTTTTTGCAAAGTAACAAAAATATCTGACGTATAGTTGTAATCCAACCTAGTATATCCGCCCTAGACTGTTGCGTGATACAGATAAAAATCAATTTTCACGGAGAAATATAAAAAAAAATACAAAAAAAGAATCCATCTTAAGCCCACGACCTTATTTACGAGCAAATGGTAAACTTTTACTTCTAGAGTCTGAAGTATTTATTATATTTTTTACTGGCTTAAACTATTGAATATAATTGTTCAATTATTGAAAAGTTTAAAAACAGCTTTTAAAATGATGAAACTTAATGATTGTTATTAATATATTTGTACCTCGGCGGTAAAAGACACCATATAAAATAATTGTAATTTTTCAGGAGAGCAAATTTTGGTTTTAATTTCCTATTGTAGATATGGATATGGATATGGTTCTATTTTATATTGTTTTATTTCCGTTATTAACTGGATTTAGAGCTCTTACTTCTTTATTTAAAAAAGGACAAGGTATTGACTCTATTTCCCATATTGACTTTTACCAAAAGGTTACAAATATAATATATTTTTAAGGATGTTTAGTAAAATAATAATTTTTTCGCTTTAAAGACAATATTGATTAGCATAAAAAATACATAGTTGATCTAATATTAGATTGCTTTCTGTCTTATTGAACACTTGTTTAAATACTTTTATTAAATAGACTATATTATAACAATTCTTTATGTGATAACTTGTCAAAATAACTTCATAAAAATTGTATAAAATTTGTTGCAAGGATACTTAAAAAAAAATGTTTATTTATGTTTATTCATTAATGAATAACTTAAAATAATTGTTAAAAAAGATGTAATAATATAGTAATACATCGTAAATTAAAATATTTTATAAATATATCTTAAATTGTTATTTTATTTTATATTTTAGATAATAATTTTTAAAAAAATTACCGTTTATATGTAATTTTAATTATCAAGAAAAAAATTTGGGATAAAATTTTTTTTTAAATAGCTAAAAATTAACATTTATTGTTATTTACTAACTGAATTACATTAACTTAAGTTATTTTATTATTAATTTTTTTTAATCCTTTTAATAATAAAAATACTATATATTCTAAAAATTTACTAAATAAATGAGATTTTATCAAAATAATATTTTATTAAGTATTTGTTAAGTATTAGCATAATTTTTTTAACAATTATATAAAAATAGTCCATCAAATTCGTTCCATACTACAGCAAATACAAATTTTTAAATCATTAATATTTGAATATACACAAAATTTTACATGTTTAGGTCTTTTTTTGGTTTTTAAGGATATATTTCTTGGGTTTTAATGCATTTTTGACATATTTTCTAATATATATAATACATGAACTTTTATAGGACTATAAGTTCACTATCTAAGTTATTATAGCTGTTACTTAAACTATAGTTATTATAAAAAAATTTTGTCTTTGGCGTAAATACACTTGTGTTTATAATGATGATAATTTATAGAAAGTATTTTTGTCAATTTGTAGTATTTTAATATAATTCAATTTTCCTGATAGTATTATTAGGGAAGTATTAGTAAGTGGCTGTTTAATACGATTTACTACTTTATAATCGAAATTGATGTCTTTTATCCCAATGTCAGTATTTTTTATTTTTGGAATTTATTGGAAAATTAGTTAAAAAAGTGAAAATATAACATTTAATATTATATATGGGAATACTCTTTATTTGTTATTAAAATTACTTATAAAAAAATAATTACATTAAAATGTTTATAATGAATCTTAAAAAATAATTATGTTTTAAAGTTAACTATTTTTGACCTGAATCATATTTAGTACATTAATCCATGCATGAATTTTCCTTTTTTCATATGTAGTGTGATAGCATTCTCAACCAAACAAATTAAAATAATATAATAAGCAAATTTATGTACCAATATCTCATTTTACATAATACAGCACATTTTTTTAAGTTCTCGTTACAATAGTAATAAAATACGCTTTTTAATGAACAACAACATAATAGTTAATCTGTTTCAGTACTATAATACAAGAAAAATTTCAGAGTACCAAGTTTGATATTCTAAAACTAAAATAGGATAATTGATGAACAAAATATCAATAGCACGCAAAACATATTTTTGCAATAAAATTCTTTAATAATGTGAAAACAAGTGGAAACCAAGTGTAACTACAAATATGGGATTATAAGTACCGTATTTTATGTATTTTTGGTTCATAAATGTCTTTAATATTATCAAAAACGCTAATGCCATATCAAGTAGATTTTCCTCAAATATAGTGGTCCCGCATATATTGACAAATCTATAACTTTTTATGATTTGTGATTCAATGACTATATACAATATATGTCTATCCACAATGACTTGTGGGGATAAACATATCTATTGCTGTGTCGCGTTTTATTCAATTCAAGTGCGTTATTCATATATTGATTGCAAGCATATAGTTTACGTTATTGAAACACTTAAAATTAATTGAATTAATTTAGTGTATTATTTAAATGTAAAAACATATTAAAACCTTAAAAACACGGTATTAATTTTACGTTAAAAAGAAAAACCACAACATGGCATAAAGCAACATATTTTGTTTGTATAATTTTTAATGAAATGAAAAAAAAAATGTAAAGAAAATAAGTCACAATTTATTTAAATATTTAATAGTTCTTCATTACAATAATTATAATTAAAAATACAGACTCATATTAAATCTATACTTATACAATGTAAATTCTTTAAAACGATGCCCACCTAAATGACCCATTTATAATTTTTGAAATTAAATAAGTGACATTTTAATCTTATGTTTATAGTAGTTTTGTAATAAATATTCAATTTTTTATTAAAGTTAGATTTCTGGCTTATAAAAGTTCAATATCAATTAAGAATATATATTAAGTTGGATAAACCATAACATTATCGAATAAATTTCAGCTGTTTATAAAATTTTATTTAAAGTTCGAGCAATATTCATAAGTTTTACATTATTTCACATCTGGTGAGAAATCATATTTTCTTCAATTGTTACTGTGTAAACAATTTATGTGTTAACATAATCAAAACCGAATTGCGTTCTAATTTTTTCATAATTTTTTATCTAAAAAATTATTTATAAAAATAAGTTCACTACAGGGTAGAAAGCAAATCAATAAATTAAAAATAGCTATCAACTTCGAAAATAATAAAATATATTTCAAAAGTATTATTATTAATCCTACAAATAATTACTTTTTTATTTTGAACTTAAAGTTTTCTTTGTTAATAACTGTACGTTTTAACTTGAGTTTAAGTACTTAAAATATAATTGATAGTGATTCCTAAGTCATATGCTATCATGACTCGATCAGTCTGTTATGAAATGCTTAACTTAAGATTTACTTAAGATGAATCTGATTTTTTAAAGCCTCAATGACATTGAAGGTTTTCTTCTGCATGCCTCTAGTTATTTTGTTCGTGATTGCCTCTGAAATGGAATTCCTCAAACGGGCGTCCTCGAACTTGCCCCGCATAATATAGAGTATAATAATAATTATTATTATACTTAATAATAATAACTACGATATACTATTTCAGTTAATTAATCTTATCTGCTAGCATAATTGTAGTATGCACAATTTGCTCGGACCGGCTTTCTTTCCCACAACATCAAAGGCATCTTAAATATTTCCCCTTCTATTTTATCTTAACACCGGTTAATACTAATAATTGTTATAACAGCGGCAGTCTGATGGAGAGTCATTGAGTAAATAAAAGTGAACACATTATAAAAATTGTCTTCTGTTATGGAATGCATGAATTCCAGACCTAATGTATTTAAAAATAGTTTAACGTTGAATGACAGAGAAATTGTTTAAAGTACTTCAAAAATGTTAAATTGTTCAAGTATATTAAAATTATATTAAAAACGGGACACTTTTGGAGAATTCAACAAAATATTGTTGATAAGTATTTAACTGTTTGATTATTCAAACTATAGAAATTATACATAGAATAATAATTTTTGTTAAATTATATCAGTATTGGTCATAGTGTTTTTAATTGAAATAAAATTATTCGTTTTAGAATTAAACATATATTGTACTTCTTTTTTTATATTTATATAAATTATAATTTATACTAATCATTAATTTTAAAAATATCTAAGGTGATTAATTCTTTTAGAATAAAAAAAAAATGATTTATTCAAAGTCGTCTTGAATTCAAGAATGTATATATTTAAACTTGTTATGCTTAAATAGTTTTGCAGTGCATTATTTGCCTTAGGTTAATTTATAAAATATGTGGAATCTTAACAGCGATTTCTCTTTAATTTTAATTTATAATTTTTACGATTAAAAGCGTTAAAAAAATTACTCAGTTATTATTGCATTCCAACATATTAAAAAAAATTAATTCATAATGAGTAATTAAAGTAAACTATTTTATATCATTTATTTGATCACAGTTCTTTTAAAATTATCGAAGTAAATCTTTTAAACACACTTCATTGAAAGGAAAAATTATTTTAAATCCAGCGTCAGTGTATAAGATCATGAAATTTGTTCATTGGCGGTTCAGGGGTTTTATGGGTGTCATAAATCCAATATCATCATTTTTTTTATAGTTTGAGAATTATATTGTGGTATTATAAAAATTATTAAAATTTCAGGTCTATTATAGCACATTTATTTTCTAAATTGGAAGTTAAAAACAAATTGTGTCTTATGGTTCAATTTAGTATAATTACATTATTTATTATTTTTATTGTTTTATTATTTTTTTTGGATCTAGACATTTTTTACGTTTCATTTGAACGTTATTTTTTATTTTATGGAGCTGCTTTAGTAAAATATAGTTATTTATGTTAATAGTGTCAAACATTTATAACTACAAAAGTAATTAACTAAAAATAAAAACTAATTTTGTTATGATAGCTTTAAAATTGCTTAAAAAGTATAGACTGTAAAAATATTTTATTAGAGTAGCTGGAAAAATTTCGATAATATTATTATCTTGGTCTTGGTTTCTTTTGCTTAATTGTCACTGGTTTTAATTAGAATGCTTATTGACAAATCTAAAGTGCATCTTTTATTGATTTTTTTTAGTTTTATTTTTGGTTATTATTAAAGTCTTCAATAAAATTTTAACTTTGTAACGGGGCCGTATTTATATATTGAAGCGTGATGGTGGTTAAATTAATTTCAGTGCTCCTAATTTGAAGAAAACTAGGAGCATCGAAAGATCTTAAAAAATTTTTCATCAAATATATAATATAAAATGTTCATACATCATATCACAGCTTTTCCAAATAATACGATTATTAAATTTTTTTTTAAGTTATCAATAATTGATTATTGCTGTTAACATTTAAGTAAAATTAAGTAAAACCTTTCATTTTTGTGATTAGGATCGTTAATAATATTAATATTTCTGATGAAAAACTATCAATATCATGTAAAAAATAAATTTGGGTAGATATTGCTATTTTCTAAATACCTAATTCCCTAGTAAAATGTTTTGATTTTCAGAAATGACAGGACGGAGGATTGTAGTAATGGCAAGACACGGGGAAAGTGAATGGTCCAAAAATAACGTGTTTTGTGGTTGGTACGATTCGTTATTATCTGACCGAGGTAATATAATCGATTTCATTTTAAATAAAGTAATTTTATGAGTTGTATAAAAATATTTTATAGTTTTATAGTTTTAAATGATAATATTCGTGAACTTAGAAATAATTTATGATTATGTTATGTCGTAGAAATGGTCATTTAAATTTCTCGTGTTCTTAAAATATTCTTATATTTAAAAATCATTTAAGAATAAAAAAAAAATTAATGAAAAAAGTAATAAGCTTGTATTAAAATTATTATCATTAAGTATAATATAATTGCATTAGATTTTACAAAATATATACTTCAATAACCACATTTTAAGTTATATGAATTTTTTGTTGTTAGCGACATATTTAATTACTTTTTATTTTTGAGATGCCAAATTATCATATATTTTTTAGAATAAGAAATGGCTCCTTAAATATCCTTGTTATATAATTATGAGTGAAAACAATATTGAAAGCAATTTTTATTTTAGGAGTGAATGAAGCTCGCGAGTGTGGTAGTTTATTAAAAGAATTTGATTACAAATTTGACCGAGTCTACACATCACTTCTCACCAGAGCTCATCAAACCCTTAAGATTATCACTGATCACATAGAACAGCCTGATATACTTGTTGAGGAATCATGGAGACTTAACGAACGGCATTATGGTGCTTTAACTGGTTACAATAAGGCTGAATTAGCTGAAAAATATGGAGAAAAACAGGTGCAAAGTTAAACGATAATGGAGTAAACCAATAAAATTAATAAATGATTACGTTTCATAATAATTGTTACGATTTTTTACAAATAGTTACAAATTATCAGGCGTCACATTCCAGTCAGATGTTTCTCAGTAGTTGCATGTTTATTTTTAATCTAAAACGTAGATCAATGCAATTTTTTTAAATGTTGAGATTGAAGTCATATAGCTTTTTTTTAAAATTAATATAGAACTACTATACTAATTTTTTTATTTTTACATTGGCCGACCCTAAGTAGTTGGGATTAAGGCGAGGAAAAAGAAGAAGACTAATTTTCTTTACATGTTAAGATTAATTTAAATTCATATAATTTTTAGTTAAAATATATTGATATTTTTGAAAAACAGCGTATTTGGTAAAAACAACTCCAATAACTAATTAAATAAATGGATGCCAATTTTTCTAAAAATTAAACGTATTTCATATTTTGTACTTACTTGTAATTACAACCAGTCGAAAGTGCAAAACTTTTCTAACATTAAATAACATTTAAAAATTTGTTACACCAGTTCAATATTGTAGACATATTCTGTTGTTACGCGTTTAATAAAATATAAAAATGCCTAAAACCTGATAAATCAATCATTTAAATATTTTTGTACAAGTATAGAAGTATAATCTCTCTGTAGGCTGTATAATAATAGGTTTGCATTGTAATTTTTTTATTATTTTTACTATTTTGAAAATTTTATGACTCAATTTTCGTATCAAATGAACAATTTTTTTGTAATTAACACGCATATTTTTTGTTCATAGATGTGAAATTATCATTTTAATGAATTTAGTATTATAAGACTGAAAAATATATTTTGCCTCCCTTATCTAAGACTAATGTATACTATTCTAAACGATATTACTTTATTTTTTAATGGGAAACACATTTTTCCATGACTATTTCCTGTGATGATCATAATAATACCTTTGTACAGTTATTCCTTCTTATAAGTCGAGTTACAAAAATCTATCAATTTATAATGTATAATTTTTACAATTGAAGATTTTATTTCTAATTTGATTTTATAACTTTAATTATTCTTAAATTACTATATTTTTATATATTAGTTTAAATTACTATATTTTTATATATTAGTTTAAATTAAATTAAGTTTTGATTTTAAAATATCCAAAAAGAGTGGGTTGTGAAGTTATTGAATTATTGTAAAAATACAATTTTTATGAATTAAATTCATCATTGTAGCAGGGAATCATTTTCATTTATAAATTTTGTTATGTATTTATAATTAGTTGAATACATTGAATACATGCACACTTTTTCTATTTTAATTTAAAATTGTGTTCTAAATTTTTATAGGGGTTATCTCCTTCAAAATAAAAATTTTTTTTTACTATAATATATACCTATAGTAAATTTATATAAACTCTTAAGTATTTCACACGAAAATTAAAAAGACATAATTCTATTCAAAATTTATAATTTATTATTGTATGAATTTTTAACTGTACAAAAGTTTTTCTACTACACAAAGAAACTTTCTTTACTACACAAAGAAACCTAATTTGAATAGATCTTATTTGATGTCTATAAAAAATTTAAGTTTTTTTTTTTAATCATTCAATTTTATTGTAGGTTCAAGTATGGAGACGTAGTTTTGATGTACTGCCACCCCCAATGGAACCAAATCACAAGTATTACAAAGCAATCTGGTGTAATCCTAAAATAGTTACAGCATCGTATTCCTTAAACGAGAAATTCCCCTCTACAGAATCTCTAAAAGAGACAATGGAGAGGGTAATACCTTATTGGGACAATGTTATTGCCCCTAATGTACGTAGAGGACAAAGGGTTTTGATTGTTGCTCATGGTACGGTATTACGAAGTCTTGTTAAATATTTGGATGGTAATTTTTTTTTAATAATAATTTTTATTTTACGTATATTTCTCATACACAAAAAGTTTAATTAATGAGATACTATTATAGTTTTTAAACATATTAAAATTTGAATAAATTTATTTATGCATAATTTGTTAATCTACAGTACTTTTGTGTTTTATAGGGATATCAAATTATGATATATGCTCAATTAACATTCCATCAGGTATTCCTTTTGTTTATGAGTTTGATGAAAACATGAAAGTGATGTCATCGAAAAGATTTCTTGGTGACAAAAAAAGAGTTGAAGAAGGAATTGCCAGGGCTGCATCAATTGGTACTACTATGCCACGATAAGCAGTCAATCTGTTATACATTTGGACTTAACTATAAATTATTATACATTTAAAATATGACTATTGTTTGTGTATTCTCTGTCTTAGTTCTCTACCTTTCTATCATTATTATTGCATCCCATTTGTTATTTTCAAAGAATCATCATCTTTTGTGTTTCCATTATTTTATATGTAAGTTATTTTTGAAATATTTATAAGTGCATTGAAAAAATGAGCTATTATTGTGTATCAATGAAAAATAATTTATTTATGATCAAAATATACTATAAAAAATTGTAAAAATTAATTTGTTGATTTCTTATATTTTTAAAAAATAAATTTATCATTGAATTTGAATATTTTTTAGAAAACCAGTAGTAACATAAAAATATTTTTAACAAAAATGCATAAAGTTTATTTTTATTAATTATGTGGCTTTTAAGCAATTTTTTCCTGTAAAAATGTTCAAATATTGAAATTTATATAAAATATCATTTTTCGAAATTATTTATTAAATTTGAAAATTATATCTTGAGGTGGTAACATTTTATAGTTGATTCTAGAATTAATTTTTGTTTTAATTAATTTTAAATATAAATATTACACTTGCATTTTTTCTGATGATTAACTGATGATTAAAAACTAAAAAGAGTGCAATGCACTAAAAATTTTTTAACTAAAAATTCATTTTAATTGGGCGTTTTATCTTGTTTTAGCTAAAATTAGTTATTGTTAATAATAGCTGATATCGATTATAAATTTAACTTTATATTAAATAAATTTGTTTTTTCTATGAAATGTATCTTTTAAGTTTAAATATCAAAAATCAATAATGTAATAAAATGTCTAAATCACAAGGCAATATATTTGATTTTAGTATTATTAATAATGTTAAATGTGTAAATAATTAATTTATTAAAATAATAAAAAAAAATATAAAATTATGCTAAATTGGAGTATAATGTAATATTGATATTAATATTGAATTGTAATTACTATTTTCGGTAATATTTTATTATCAGGTTGCTAAACAAACTAAATAAAATTTATAAGAAGAAAAATTATTGAGAATAAATCAAACGAAATAAACAAAAATATAACACTATAAATTATTAAAAATTTGGGGAAATGGACTAATTATAGAAATGTAAAAATAAATATAAATTGTGAATTGAGGTTTGGTAGTAAAATATCTATTTTAAATAGATATTTATTATATTTTTAATTTAAAATATTATAAATATTTCCTTTTAAGAATCGTACAATCTGTAATAAATTTAATTACAATAAGCACCAATGATATGTTAAGCAAATATGAAAAATAATATATTGAGATGATAGAAGAGGCCAACCAGTGCTGGTACTACATGACGTGTGAAATTGTGGATTACATCACATTCGCTTTAGGCGCCTTCGGGGTCACCAGTGATAGAGTGGACAGATAGATTAGAGGGTTTTAATGCTTTAATGTTTTAGAGTGTAAACGCTATTCAATTTTTAATATTAAAAAATAAAATTATTTAAAATACTTTGCTTTAAAAGCCACAACAATATTTTTATTAAAAATAACAATAAATATCCTTTTGTGGTAGCCCCCTTTGGAAACTGGATTATCTTATTCATAGCGAATATCATTGTTCTATAGACATGCCTAATGCCCGATTTGCCTAAGCTGTTAGCTTGTCCTCACAGTAGTACGCGAATTCGAATGGAGTACGTGTCTAAACTAAAAACGGTATATGTTTCAAAAGCTAAGTGAAGTAAAATCTGTTGGTAAAAAACCAACGTATTACGACGAAATTTTCATGGTCATTCTAGTAAAATTTTAAATCGAAAGTTAACAGTAATAAGCGTTTTTTTTGTAAAATGCCAAACTTTTTAAACACTCGTGGAATATTAAAATAATGATTAATTTTCAAATTAATATTACCGATTTCTTTAATTAAAAAAAAAATTTTCTATACCAGGATATACGTTTTAAATCCTAATAAAATACTTTATAAAATTGTAACTTAACAACTTATTATGAAAAATAATTGGATTCAAATTTGGCTAACATATTTACACAGATGAATTTAAATACAGGTATATTACTATATCAATCAAAGATGTTTAACTACTTAAAACATAAGTAATTTTCTAATTTAATGTTTCACAAAGGTAATTAAAAAAAGATGAAGTAGCTATAAACATCAAATTATTTTTAATTTTATCAATTAATATTTACTACACATATTTTAGTTATAAAAGTTAATAAATATTAATAGAGGTTTTATTATTTGTAAGAAAAAATTTGTATTTTATTAATTTATATACAATTTTTCGTAGTTCTATAAGCAATGCAACCCAAGATACTATAATGAAATATAAGTAATTTAATATTAGGTGGTATTATCGCCGACAGATAGCGGTAAATATTTTAAAGTTTTCTGTTGTAAAAGGTTATCATTATATTAAACCTGTTATCATGGAATTAATGTGATACTGAAATTGAATTTTATTCGTAAGAGACAACAGGAATTCGTTATTGTAGTGGTAATATTAAAATTCATAATTGTACCATAACGCGATATGAGTAATAGCTTATTTTTATCCAGTGATATTCGAACTGAGGCACATTATTTGGTTATTGTTTTGACTTTTGTCATTAGTTATTATATTTTCGAATAAATTGACTATAAAAAACAAGGAATAATTAGAATTATTATTGCGTTCTCTTCCTACAGAATTTGCACTTTGATATTGTAAATGTGTTCAGTGACAATAAAATTCCAAGTTGGTAATGGGACAATCGGAAAGCAAATCAGGTAAGCTAAATATTTTTGTAGAATATTAGGGGTTAACTTTAATGAGCATATTTTTAAGGATATAAGTTTGTAAGTTGTCTAAATAGTACTTAATATAATATTTTACATTTAAATCATAAAAAATAAATAATTATCGTTAATTAAAATTTTATAAAGTGTTTTGAGTATTGTACTTGTATTTTTTATTCTGAACGGTCAGGGAAATATTCGTATATGATATTTTAGAGTTGGATAACCCATAACGATGTCGTGGCCCCCGCAGTCGGTTTAAAGTTCTACTGCTATCATCGCATGGCTTCAGTTGTTTCAAAAATGCACGCAATTTCTTAGGTATTAATATTTTTAACAATACCACGTAGAAGTTAATATGTTATTAATGCTTATTATCGTAGTATATTACTACTATTATAACAACTTCTATGACATCAGTATATTATACTGTAAATCATATAAGTCAGGAAATTTCTTTCAGTCTATAATGATTAATTGGATTATATTTGAAAACAACATTAATTACTTTAATTTTTTGGGTTATTTAAATTTCTTTAAACATGCAGTGCATTGATTTTACCATAATGTCTGTCCATAAAAATCTTCAGTTTTCATTGGATCGATATTGTTGGTTTATGCGTCAAAAGAATTCGATTTTAATCTAGTAGAATTTTTCAACTTCAATAATTAAAAAAAACCCTTAATTTTAGGTATTTAAAATAATATCTCAAAATTACGTTACTATAAAAATCGCATTTTAAAAGTTAGATTTTTTTGAATTTTAAAACCGCTATAACTTCTTAAAAACGATGATTTTAATAAAATATTAACAGAGTAGATAGAAAAAATAAGCTTTTATATTTGTATGTTTTTATAAAAATCTAACAAATAAACTACGTACAGAAAGAGCTTGAAAGAGGTTACCCAAACATAGAAACAATTTTTTCTAACTCTATTTTTGAAAATCTTCCAGAATGTTTAATTTAAATCAAATTATAGCTTTTGATGTAAAATACAATAAAAAAATAAATGTTTTATTATGAAATATTGGTTGTCAAAGTAAAAGAATTTTTACAATAAAATAATTGTTTTTTTAAAAAAATGTTTCAAAATGTCTGACAAATTGAAACCTATACTATAGAAACGTTAATCCTTGTTAGATATCATCTATATTTGACCCAACTGTGTTAATTTTTTAAAATAGTATTAATTTAACCAATTGTTTTTGCTGCTAAAACAATACCAATAATTGATAACTATGTCATACTTGTTTTTTTCAGTAGTTATTAAAATTAACGTATCTTTGATAAGTTTAACTTGAAAACAGAAAATATAATTGATTAAAAAAAATTTACTAGATGCAATTCGAAACAGTAATTTGTGTAAGTAGTAATATTGATAATGCAAAAAATAAATTTACACTAATTATTTACGGTACTATAAGTATCATATTAAATCTTTCACTAAATGTATTTAAATAAAACTAAAATTAATTTTTGAAATGTCATTGTTGAATAAAATTTGATGTTATTTGAGATACCACTGACTAAATTAGTTAAACTATTACTCAGTTATCTTTGAATGACTGTATGATATTACTGTCATTGAACACAAAACACTTTAAAATAATTTTTACAAATCATCACGCATAATCTACTCATTATTTTCACTTCCCTCGCAGTGTCATTTTTGTAGTGCTAATACATTAACTTTTGATTAGACAATTTGCTTATTTGTTAAATACTTAAAGAAGAAAGAGTTGAAAATTAAAGAAGAAAAATATTCCAATATTAATCACATTATACCCCAGTTTTACTTTAAAACTAGTTTTTTCAGACTTTGAAAAAAATGCCATTTTCTCAAATAAAGTTAATCATAAGATGATCTATTTTTTTTTTATATAAATTGATAAAAACTTTATTATTTAACTTTATAAAAGTTTTCCGTATACCTAGATTTGTTTCTAATTGGTTGAGAAATCTGGCTAAAATTTGTATATATGATATAATTTTTTAGCTAAGTTCAAAGCATGACACTTTCATTTCAGAAAGAGGAGACTCGAAACAATAATTCATTTGAATGTCGGGGAAGGGAATCACAGTAGAGTTTTTTTAACAAGGATTCAGTCAAACTGATTCTGGTCACGACCGAATGTTCCTTTTATGTTTTGTGATCATTTAAATGTGTTAAATTTGGCAACTAAATTTCTATTTATTATAGTTTGCTACTCAGTAATTGATGATGGCTTGAAGAATTTGGACAGATCATGACTTGTATGATCTCTGCAGTAGTTTTTCCTAGTAATAAGGCAATTTTTGTTCTAACAACAAACATTTTAAATTTATAACTAAAATTGTATATTCAAATATTGTATCACGAATTATTCGTATGGTACCAAGTTTCTATTTATCAATTTTTAAATAGAAAGAGCACGAAGAAGATTTTTTACATTATATTAACTCTTAAATAAATTAATTGAATGATAAAAATTGTCTCATTTTTAATAATATTATTAAATCCTATATTAGTACGCACTTTTTAAAAACATAGTATACTAAAATTTTCGAGAAATTCATACTTGTAATAGTAACATAAATTTTAAGCGTTTTTGGATGTTGGAGTATTATAAAACTAATTTGTTAGCTATAAACAAATGGCGTAGTCTTTTTTTTTTCTGAATAATTTTGAAAAATTGAGATACGTGATTTTTTCATGAATGTGATTATTATATATACAAAATTAATTTTTTGTAAAATTTACAATTATGCTCGACATTTTTAAAATTATGGAGTCTTTTCTTAGTTGGGGCGTAACATTTATTTGGTTTTGTTCAGTGTTACATAGGCACAATTTGGTTAGCAAATTTAACTTAAATAAAATATTTAAATTACGTTAAATTTTAATATTCAAATTTTTGGAGCATTATAAATTTTTAAATAATTCAAGTAAATATGAAGGTATAAACCAATCCTTAAATCTTAACTACACCTCTGGTTATACCTTTAAATTAAGTTATTTAAGTAAAAAAATCATATTGATATGGTTAAGTTGAATTTTTAAGTTTACCTAACATTCATATTTCAGTTATTATTAAATAACCCAGTAAGTTATTTAGTACATTCAAATAATCGGGAACCGGTTTTTTTCTGCTGACTACTATGCATGTATTTGTGTGACAACCTCGTGTGACAGTAAAATTACTATCATGAGTTCTATTATTCAACATTTGAAAATCTGTGTTCAAGTGTGGTAAATATTGTTCTTGCACGTTTAATTAACATAATTATCATTGGATCCGATTTAGTTTCTCTAAAATGACCCATCAGAATCGACGTGATGGAGTATCTGGATGTCTACGATTCACTGGACTGGCTAACTCTTTGATTAGATTTGCATATAAAAAGTGCACTGGTAAGTCTACTGCTATTCATACATATTTTAATATAGAACTCAGCTGTCATATCGTTGTAGTCCGTTTAGTATGAATTAAATGGCCTGGTGGTTATTTTTATATTTAACCTGTCGGTTTAGAGCTCTTAAACAAGGATTATGCAATAACGCACCAAATGTCCACTGAACGTTGACCATAACATTACCACAGAACGGTTATATAGTTGGGGTCACACATTGAGAGGCTATTGTAGTACTTATACTCTAGTAAAAGGGACCTACCGCAATAAAATATTTTCCTTTGAGAACTGGTCAACGTTATTCTATTTGATATTAAACGTTGATAATGGTCAGCACTGACGGACATCTGTTCCTCTTGATCTAAAGTGAATGCCAATTTTTTTCTATTAAAGTCTGCAAAAAATTATCTTTTAGTATAATACAATATTTTAAGTGGATTTCAGTGGTGTGTTCATAAGTTCTATCGTTGGTCACTCATTGCTATAATTTTAATTTTTTATAAATGATCATTAAAAAAATAGGTTATGCATTTTGGGATAGATTTACATGGTCCATGTCAGTTTGTGATCAAAATATAAATTTCTTATAAAAGAATATTTTTGAAAGTATACTTCTAAGAATGAAGTTAAAATTATTTTTGAAGTCGGAGTTTCCTTGCAGCAGGCTATTATCTTATAAAATATATGTCTTGGTGCTTAGTGACTAAAAGAAAAAACAAAATTCTGTTTAAAGCCGAAGGGGTCGCTTGTATAGCTACAGCAGCTGTTTCTCTACCATATTATTTTATTGCTAAGAGCCCGTATAAACTAGTATACGCGTGTTAGAAGGGATCCTCAGACCGGAACAGGATTTCGAAAAAAGAAATAGAACAAAATATAAACCCTCTGCTTCCTCTCCGAAATACCAAACAAGGGAAGAATTTACCGAAGTAGAACAAGATTATTCGACAGGTAAGTTCCGGTGTATGGTCACCGCCCATTCTCCAATTGTTTAACATAAAGAATCATAAGATATAAACATTTAAGATATTTAACTCGAATCCATATTGAACTGCATGTTAATTGTAATAATATATTAAAAGGTTTTTTATTTTTGATTATTAAAATGATTGCCATAACTCAATAGATACGCTGCTGCATCCTTAAATTAGAATTAAGTAATATTAAATAGTATTTCATCGGACATTATATATTATTTTAAATTAAAAAAAATCCGGTTTTCAAGATTTAGTAGATCACGCTTTCTTTATTACTAGCATGTTTCTAATTATAGTTAAAACAAAATTATACTTTTTTAATTTGATTTCATAATATTATAAGTATATCATGATTAAAAGCAATTATTTCTTTTGATAAAAAAAAGGTTCTGTTCAATAATCAGACAATTCTATTTTCATAAACTTACCTAGAAAAAGAAAATTGTAGTTATTTAGATCAAAACTAATAGGGTTTAAGGTAATTCTCTGGTGTTATGCATAGATATTCATGTCGTTTTTGTTTGAAATGATTATCCTTGATAAAATATAGAGTTTGTTATATCGAGTTATTTAAATGTATTTATCACATTTAAAAGAGCCGATGTAACTCAATTTTGGTTCTGTTCAATTTTTCTTTTTAATAATGTGACAATTATATAGTACTTTACTTTTTAAGTTATTTGTATAAATTAATTGGTTTTTGGGGAAAAAAAAGTACTATAAAATCTTTTTTGGTGTCTCTGTATTTAATAAAATCTGTATGCTTACAAAATTTTGAGAAGTCGCATATACGTTTCTCATATACGTTCGGAACATGGTTACAATCATAGTGTTTTACAGATAATTAGTCATTATGTGAATAAATAATATTTTAAATAACATTAATCACAAGTAATCAATTCTTACTACATTAAAATTGTACTATTTTTAAATTTTCCTCTTAAAAAATCTTTTAACTTAAGACTTTTTCATATTTCTGTACTTAAAAAAGGAAGAATTCTAGTTTATTATTTATAAAAATATTTCTATAAATATTAATTTAAAAATAATAAAAAATGTATTTATATATAATAAAACTATGGTATAGCTACAATATAATTATGTTTCTATATTAATGCAATGCTATTAGTTTCTTCTTATTTTTAATAATTTTACTATAGGAGATAGCGTAGAGCAAATTAAATTTTATAAAGAAAAACTTTTTCGTCGATTGCTAATTAATGTGGATGTAAAAAAAAATGTATCATACTTTACAGTTACTGTTGGGTTTATAAAAAAAACTCGTGACAAATGGTATTATTTTAAATGGTGTTATGTGGAAAACAAAAATTTTAAGTTAAATTTTTTTAAAAGATAATACAAATATCACTTTAAGGCTTACTGAAAAATAAAGTTATTCCCGGTGAGCTCCCCGTTCTGAAATTTATTTAATAACTGGGCCCAAACTTTTCTTTTACGTTCTTTTTTAAATGAACAAGAATGAAAAATAATTCAATATGTAATTTTGATTATCATTAATCTATTATCAATATAAGGCTAACTGCCACAGTTTTTTTGAGATATTCATAGATGATAAAAAATGATTTTTTTATGATAAGTTCCATATTAATTTTGTTTTTAGAATGCATAATTAATGATAATAATAATATGGAAATATGTAATCATAGTTTTAGCTTTAAACATAGTGTTGTGTATTATTTCAAAATAAGTGCAATTTACATTTAAATAGCTGTACATTGCATATAAATTCATATTGTCCTCATAAGTTACATAAGTAAAATATTGATTCTCAAGATACTATATATATATTAGATTATCATCTCCATAGTTTCTCCCAACTATTTGGCGTCTGCTTTACCTTTTTGATTTGACAGGATTTTTACATCACCTGATGCAACCTTATTATGGCGAGGGAACCAGTAAAGGGGAAAGGTGTGTTTTGTAGTACTGTGTAAGTTCCAGTATGATAACTCATCCGATATCTAACAGTAAAGAGCACAGTTGAACATAAGTGCTAAGGTGGTGACCGGATGATCCTCGGCGCCACACCACTCTCTATTATAAATATATTAAGTACTAAATGTGTAAATTATTTGGAAATATATTATTACTCTAAAATTAGTTAGTAAAAAAAATTATATTATATTTATTTAAAATAAGTATAGGTACCATAAATCTCGAGTGTAGCAAACAGAATTATTTTTAAGATTGGAGACCTCATCTAATATTTCCCTGTAAATTAATAATCCGCCTCTGTTATTTATATATTTTCTATAGTAGATATTATTTTTATGAATATTGTAGGTAAACATATTTTTACTCAATTTTTCAACTAATATTTATTAAAATTATTAGCTCATGAAAGTATTTTTTACTTAAGTTTTAAATAATTTATTTATTTAAAATAAATAAATTTATATAAATTAATAAAATAAAATAATTTGTATTGTTATATTTTTGGCAAATTTTAACAATCTATTACATTAGAATGATTAACGATTTTAAATATAAAAATTATACAAAGATAATGTATATATATATAATTTGTATGTATATATTATTAAATGTATAGTTCATTAGTTTTCTAAAATTCGTATAGAACAATACTCTTTAATACAATCTAATTTCGGGTATACAAAATATCAGGTTAGGGTAACATACGAAAAAAAATTGATGATCACAACAAAAATCTTTTCTACTAGACTAAAAATACAAAATTCGTTGTTGGGAAAAAAGACACCCCCATTTATGATGTTTGAGAGTTTAAACATCCCTCTCTTACAGTATATATTTGCGAAACTACACAAAATCACGATTCCCTCTTATCTACTATAATAAGTTAAAAATGTATGTATGTCTCGGCGACTGGTATAAGCTATGTAATATTCGAATTCCAATAGTTTAAATTTAATTATAATACACTTGATTTTCAGTAATTGTGATCAAAGCGATAAAATTGTAGAAGACACTTGATTTTCAAGTGATGATTTGGTAGAAGAAATATTATCTGTTGGTTGTTAATTCTTTTCTTAAAAATGGAATATATAAACCGTTTCTTTATTTTTTGTCTAGATAATTTTTTCATGAAATTTTAATTGAATTTTTAAACAACCTGCCATTGTTTGTTACATTCATTGAAAATGCCTATAGATGGTCTATATCCCTATATTTTTGTGAGATTCATAGGAATACTAAAAGTAAGGTCGTGTAGTTTTTTTTCGGCAACAGGAGGCAACGATCCCTCTGACTACGCGTGAGAGGTTTAACATCTGGCGTAGTCATACGTTCGTCGCCAACGCTCACAGGGGAGATATCGCGCACATACAGACACATGAAAAGCCTCCTGAAATGTTCTATTATAATTATGAAAAAAGTACCCCTACAAAGCAACTGTTGCTCACACATGTCGTAGGGATTACATTGATCAATTTTGGCTACTGTTACATAGACTTTAGAACATTACTTATTATATAACCAGTTATCCGGGAGAAGTTTTAAAATAAACTTGCTGTCTTTATTATAAATAAGTAATATAGTAACAGCTAAACTGATTTAAATGTGTACCAAAAGTTTGTTAGAGTTAACTTACATTGTATAGTACGTGTAGAGTTATCGACATTTACGAATACTGAGACATTATGTAAAGTATACTGCATTTTCTTTTTTAGTCATAAAACCTTTATCGACTATGTATTTATACTTTTATTAAAATATTTTATAATGTTCAACTTATTTTGAGAATCGTCGGTTTTGGTAATTAATTAGAATGTTTTGTTTTATTAGTGGCTAAAAGTAATAAATTAGTAGTTATTCTAAAATATTTATTTATACTTAACTGATATCGTTAAAAATACTTTTTGTTTTTAATTTGAATAAAATATAACAAATTCTAAATGTAAGTAAGCGCATTAAAATGTTATGATCCGACGATTTTATCTAATCCCTAATTTTTAAAAGAACATTATTGACATCATTGATTGGTGTTTTGATTGATTTGTCTTTTTACCTGTAACACGTGCTTACTATATATATGATATACATAGTATGTTAAGCTACAGTTGTATCTCGAATAAATATTATAAAGAAATGTGTGATGTTTGGAAATGAATAATTATTGTACCTCTAGTGAATATAAAATACATCTTAAACTCGAGTTTAAAATATCTAGTATAAATAAAATAATTATAGTACTGTTTTTAATACATAATAGTGTTGAAATGAAAACTTACATCTATAGAGTAATCTGTTTAGGGATATAAACTATTTTCGGTATTAATAAAAATTACTGTGGGAGCTAAATGTATTACCATCATTGAAGTACAAAGTTATCTAAAAAAATGTTGTCATTTGAAAACCCTTACTCATTATATATTTGGCTTGAATGTTCAGTTATTTATAATACAAATCAATATAGCAGTTGAAAATCGAACGTGCCGTTGTGTAAAGGGTTAGAACGTGTAGTATATATTACATGTCTATGTATATTTATAAATACTGTAATGTGTAGTCTCGCGAGAGCAGATGTGATTTGCACAGGACGCGTGGCTACATTATAAGAAAACAACTGCCATGCAAGCTGTTCCTGCCGGTAATAATTATCTTTCCTGGGGTAAACACACGGTAAAAATCGGACGAACAGCCGTTCAACGGCTATCTGAGAAGGGCAGCTGACATATCTCTCCCTTCTCCGTGCGTCTACACTTTATACGTATTTATGCATCCACAGGAATACGTACGTTCTTGCAATGGCTGGAAGGACTCGCGGGGGTATGGGCACGCGTATCGGCGGTACGGGTCGCGTGCCTGGTGTTTCCCGCATCTGCCCGTACATGTGACCCCTCCCTCTACCGCAACCGTTCTATAATATAGGCCGTTGTCACCTGGCTCCCGCGGTGAAACAGTCAGCTGTAGTCGTTCTTTGTATGCGCGAGAGACGAGGAGATCCCTTCAGGCTCTGTACTTCTCAGTTCTTCT